TGTGTGTTTGAGCAGGAAATGTTTGGGGACCTCAGGTTCACATTTGCGTCTGGAGCACCGCTGTTGCTCCTGCCAGGCTCCCACTGTGGCTCATGAGCATGTGACATTTCCACCTACGATACAGGTGGTTTTTTTTTTTTTTTTTTGCACGGAGCAGGCTGGCAGGACAGGCAGGCCTTCCCACAGGCCCCACTATATCAGGAACAAAGAGATTTCCTCCACATACCTGTGTGAGGGGAGCTCTGCAGCTTCCAGCCCCAGACACGCAAACTGAGGCCGAAGCAAGACTCCCTTTTATCCATTGCCAACTAAGGTGGACCTCATGACCTTGACCTCTGTAGGCACAGCTCTGACTTCCTGCTTGCCTGTGCAGGAGCTGGGGAAGGGGAATATTACCCGAGGCTCTGCAGTCACTGTGTGATGGTGAGCAGAGAGGCCTCGGCCTGCCTTGGCCTTAGCTGTCTTCTGGCCCTGTAAGCTATTTCTTTTCTGTGGAAGAGCCTAGTAGTTCGGATCCTTTCTGCTCTGGCGCCTGGCAGAGGGGCCTCTTAATGCTCTGTGTTCCTAACCTCGCCTTCCTCACTTGCAAAATGCACTGAGCTTTTCTTCCAGACCCAGGTATATCATTCTTTCTTGGTAGCAAGAATCCCATTGTTGTGGAAAAAAGTGGAATCTAAAGGTGAGAGTCTAAAGAGTGAGGGACAAACGCCTCTGAGAGTCTGCTTGGCCAGGCCCTTGGTTCGTTTTCCCATAGACAGATAGCTTTCTTGCCAAGAGTTCACTTTTCCAGCCAGGTGTGGTAGCACAGGCCTTGAATCCTAGCATTCAGGAAGGCAGAGGCAGGAGGATCTCCGTCAGTTCTAGGCCAGCCTGGTCTACAAAGTGAGTCTAGGACAGCCAAGACTACACAGAGAAACCCTGCCTTGAAAACAAACAAACAAAAAAATACTGATTTTTTTTTTTTTCCATGTCAGTTCAGACAGGGGTCATGGCTTCCTTTTTACTTTCAGTTCTTTGATGATCGGGAATAAAGCCACTTTGGGATGCCCTAGGCTCTCCAAGTCTTCACTGATTACCTGTACACCTACCATCGATGCCTGGTCCTCAGATTTCCTCATCAAGGAGTAGACGGACTGGCGGCTGAAGAAAGAGGAAACAGATCCTTAAGCACAATGTCCTGCTGCTTAGGCCCAAGCTCGTTGTTCAGAAATGATGTAGGAGCCACATAAAACCAGGATGTGGAGTAGACAGAATCAGGAGTGGAGGGGGCTGGGGCAGGGCCCCTCACATCAGAGCGAATCAGCTTGGTGTAATCCTGTGGCAGGAAGAGTTTTATGCACCTGGGTCCCATGTGAGACCGGGCTCTGGAGTTTTAGGTGGCTTGGTTGGGGCGAGGCACCTGCAGTTGGACGGTCCGGCGTTAGTCCGTCAGCGGCCAGATCATGGTAACGCTGGGCAGAGGTGCAGGCAGCAGCCCCTGCCTGCGGGCATGCTTGCTGTGATCTGGCTCTGAGTCCAGCCACGGCTGTGGGAAGGAACGGTGACCTCATGTACCCACCTCAGGTGCAGGTCTGGCTCTTCTCAGTCTGGCTGTTGAGAAACTTTGAGCAGAGCCACCCAGATAAGACGCGGCTCGAGACTGTGCCTAGAGAGAGTGAACTCGGATCTCCTCGGCCTGCTGGGCTTGGAGATCTCCCGTGAGAGGGGAGAACGTACCCCGTACAACCTCCTCTGGGGAAGGGAGGGTGCATTTCATCTTTGGACTGCAGAGGAGGAGAGGAGAAATCCTTGGACGGTTGCCATAGGGTGTGAGGCAGCTGAGTTTTAAGGTGGGTTCCTTAAGGCTGAACAGTCATCTGTTGACCAAAGGCAGCCTCTCCTGAGGAGCACACAGACCCCAGCAGCCTTTGTTCTGGTTGCAAAGGCACACTTTGAGTTGGAAGCGTTTGCACGAGGTTGCCCAGTGTTTGCCAGAAGGCACCTGGAGGCTTTGACGGGTGCCTTCCAGGCTTCTCGGCCCCATGGAGTTGAGAACTGACAGGGGTCTAGAAAGAGGACCCCTGTCCTCTTGAATGTGGTGGGAAGCGGAGATGATGGGTGCAGGCTGAGCAGAAAAGAGCAGCTAAAAAGTTGAAGTCGGAACAGCCTGGAAGTGGGTGCCTGCAAACAAGGAGACCTGGCTGGCGATGTCTGCCCTTGGCCCCTTCCTCCCCAAGGGACCTTTACCGGGCTGCGCCTTTTGATGTGGGAGAGCTGCTGTGCTCTCTTAAGGTGTAGGTGACAGACACTGGAGTATGTGGCTTCACTTCTCTCTCCTCTTGATTGGGTCTGTTTCTTGTTGTTGTTTTTGTTTTTTTGAGGGGGGGGTTGACTGCATGAATCTTCACACTCAGCTTCACAGAGAGCACTTGAGGTGGCCAAGTGACAGGTGGAGGAGGCTCTCCTGCCTGCTCCTGCTGCCCGTCTCTGTGGGCACCAAGGTCAAAGGGCATCTTGAATTGCCATAGCAAGCCTCTAGGGAGCCTGTAGCATATTTTTCATTTTGCCCCCTCCGTGTCTTTATACTCACCTCTTCCTGTCCTCCTAGAGCAAAGGGACATGTCCCCAGGTAGGAGCAGGGATGAGGGGAACATGCACAGGGCTTACCTTGAAGACACCGGAAGACACTGGCTGCAGCCATCTCGGCCCTTTGCTTCATGTGTCAGCCTCTTGCTGGTCTGCCCCCCCACCCCCGCTCTCCCACAAAAGGAGGGTGCTGAGGTGGGAGGTCTTGGAGCCCCAGCGGTCCCTGACTTTCCTCAGCAGCAAGGATCCGGCTGCTGTTCACACGTTGCTGTTCTCTTCTGGTTCGCAGCCCCCTTCCTGTAGTGGGTCGACAGGCAGGGCAGGATGGGCGCCTGGGGGAGGAAAGCCCTTACCTGCCATTGGGATGTTTTTGAGGGCACCCTTACTTTAATCTGACTGGACACTCCTGGATGTCCTACGCCACTTCCTTTCTCCCCACCTCAGTTGTTTCACAGTTTCGTGCCCGCGAGTCACGTTTTTTGATTGTATCTCTTGGTTATCCTTCTCCCCTCCACGGCTGAGCCTCTCCTTCTAGTCCGCCACCTACTTTGACATATCTTTTGTTACTGCACTCTGCTTAGGGTAGCTCGTATGAGCCCGAGTGCATCCATCTTTCCTATTGCATCAGCAGCTTATCGGCCAGCTCTGAAGCCTGCCTTTGTTTTTTGTTTCTTTGGTTGTTTGAAGCCTGCCTTGCCCTGCCCTGCCTCACCCGACTACCCCTAGTCCTGTGCTTCTTGGAAAATCATTTCTCCAGGGAGCCAGCCGTAGTTCTCCCAGTCCATCCCTTCTTCCCAGGGACCCTTCACTGTGTCATCTCGTGTCGCTCAGTTCTTCTGCAGCATGACACACATTGCATTCTGTTTTACAAATACAAGTACGGAAAAAAAATTATTCTGCCAAGTTTGAAAGCCAGCATGAGGTTCCACTTAATCACAGCTCTATCCTCAACATCTAGAACCTGAAAGGCTCATCAGATATCTGAGCGCAGGTGTGCGGCTTGGGGGTGGATGTGGGCAGCGCTCTTGTGAGAATGTCTTTTCCTAAAACTTATTTATCTATTCACTTTACATCCTGATTGAAGCCCCCTCCTCTCCTTCTAGTTTTTCCCTCGAATCCCCCCCCATCCTTCCCTCTTCTTCTCCTCAGAGAAGAGGGAGGACCCCTCTGGGTACCAGCCTGCCCTGGTGCATCAAGTTGCTACAGAACTAGGTGCATCTTCCCCCACTAAGGCCAGACAAAGCAGCCTGGTTAGGGGAACGGGATCCAAAGGCAGGCATCAGAGTCAGAGACAGCCCCCGCTCCAATTGCTGGCGGATGTACATTTTGACCAAGCTGCACATTGCTACATGTGTGTGTAGGGTCTAGGCCCAGCCCACGCATGCTCTTTGGTTGGTGGCTCAGTCTCTGGGAGCCCCACGGGCCCAGGTCAGTTGACTCCGTAGGTCTTCTTGTAGAGTCCTTGGCCTCCTGGCTCCCTCAGTTGTTCCCCCTGAATTCCATAGTTCTCCCCGAGCTCTGTGTAATGTTTGGCTGTAGGTCTCTGCATCTGCTTCCATCAGCTGTTGGGTGAAGCCTCTCAGAGGAGTTAAGCTAGGCTCCTGTCTACAAGCATATCAGAGTATCATTAATAGTGTCAGGGGTTGGCTCTCTCCCCTGGAGTGGGGTGTGAGAATGTCTTAATGGGGGGCTGGGAAGGTGGAATCATTCATCAGAGTGCTTGGGACCTCATAAGGCCTGAAAAAAGCTAGGCATGGTGATGCGTGTCTGCAGCCTCATTAAAGAGGCAGAGATAAGGGCTGCTGGACCTGCTGGCAGATCTGTGAGCCAACATGACCTCTGATTTCTTTTTCAAGATAGGGTTTCTCTGTGTAGCCTTGGCTGTCCTGGACTTGCTTCATAGACCAGGCTGGTCTTGAACTCAGATCTGCCTGCCTCTGCCTCCCGGAGTGCTGGGTGCCACCATGCCTAGCTATAACTTCTGATTTCTAAACACACTCGGTGTGCTCGTGTGCGTGCGCGCGCGCACACACACACACACACACACACACACACACCAGCTCATGCCCAAATGAAAACTATTATTTTGTATGGTAATTAAAAGAAGGTGGATTGGTTTCTTAAACATTCTGGATCCCTCTTTAGGAGGGCAAAGTTGAGTTTGGTTGGGGCTAGTGAAGCTAGAGCATCTGTGTTGAGTTCCCAGCTGAACACTAGGGTCTGAGAGTGAGGTAAAGAGGCCAGTCCTGGGGATGGATCCGGAAATCGTGAGCATGGTCTGTACAACACTCCCTGGAGCCCCAGCGTTGCCGCACTGCACACAGGAGAATGGAACTGGACAAGCAGAGGCATGGGCTGTGTCTGCAGGTGCTCAGGGTTTCACGCTGCAACTCGGCTTCCTTGCCCGTGGATTTATTCACTTGTCTTTGCCACAGAAATGGCCTCCACCTACAACCCCAGAGAGTGCAAACTGTCCAAACAGGAGGGGCAGAACTATGGCTTCTTCCTGCGCATTGAGAAGGACACGGAGGGCCACCTGGTCCGAGTCATCGAGTCGGGGAGCCCAGCAGAGAAGGCGGGGCTCCTGGATGGGGACCGGGTCCTCAGAATCAACGGTGTCTTTGTCGACAAGGAAGAGCATGCGCAGGTGAGTGGACCGCCGGAGTTTTCCAAGCATCTCCCCAGCCTCCATTATCCCATTACACTTTCGGGGAGCTGAGCCTCTTCTGGTTGCCCCCGGCAAGAATCATGACGATGTTTTGTGTCGGACAGCCTATTTGCTTATAAGTAACCGAGAACTGTAAAAATCACTGCCACCATGGCTCAGTGGACAAAGGTGCTTGTTGCTAAGCCTGGTGGCCTGAGTTCAATCCCTGGCACCTACCTGGTGGAAGAAGAGAACCGATTTCCACAGGTTTCCACATGCATGTGCCGTGGCACGGGCCCTCTTACAGAACCAATCAAGCAATAGATTGGGGTTATACTAGTGTCGGGCCGAACATTGCCCGTTTGCTGTGTGCTAGAAATTGTGCCAGACAGTTTTATCCTGGTAACCTATTAGGCCCTCGGCACAGGCCTGTCCTGTGAGGCATGTGTGATTGCTCAGATGAGAGAGCCATATGTAAGCGACCTACTTGTTAACCTTCATGTAGCGAAATGTGGGAGAGGCTGGCCTTGTCCCATTCCGTTCTCCTTTTGCTGCACCACGCTGCTCCCCTAGACCTGGGGCGCTAGGCCCTCTGGGCTCTCCAGAACAGCGGTTCTCAGCCTTTCCGATGCTGCGACCTCTTAATACAGTTCCTCAGGTTGTGGTGACCCCCCAACCGTACAATCATTTCTGTCACTACTTCATAACTGTAAGTTCGCTACTGTCATGAACTGCAACGTGACTACTTGTGCAGGATATCTGATATGTGACTCAAGAGGTTGCGACCCACAGGTTGAGAACAGCTCCAGAGCACTCATCTCTGGGACAGACCAGCCCTCATAAGGGCTTCCTGGATCCCCACAGTGCCTGGGGCCCAGTGTAACCCTCCTAGATCCTGGGAGTGCTGGGGTGACAGTGTCGGGTACCCCTCTGCCTAGGGTATCTTCAGGGACACAGGATGAGCATCCTCCTCCTGCAGTTGATTGGGGGGGGGTGCGATCAGGGCAGGGTATCCCTAACCCTTCCTCTCTCTTGCCAGGTGGTGGACCTGGTCAGACAGAGTGGGAATTCAGTGACTTTGCTGGTTCTGGATGGAGACTCCTATGAGAAGGCTGTAAAAAATCAGGTGGACTTGAAAGGATTGGATCAAAGCCAGAAGGAGCTGGCGTTGAACGATGAGAAACCAGGCCCCGTGATGAACGGAGCGGTGGAGAAGAGCACCCAGCCTCGGCTCTGCTATCTGGTGAAGGAGGGCAGCAGCTTCGGCTTCTCTCTGAAAACTGTCCAAGGTGAGCTTGGGTAGGGGCTGAGCAATAGCCTTCCGGAAGACAGATGTTGGTTAGTGACTGCTTCTCTGCAGTTGCTATGAATGCCCGCAATGACGTCACTCTCTTCCTCCTTCTCCAGCACGAATCTTTTCTCTGTAGTTCTACAAAGAGAGAACGACAGCAGCAAGGGCTGAGTCGGGGATGGGTCCCCTCTCCCTAATGTGTGTCAGGCTGGTCCTTTGAGTTCAAGGGCTGATGCCTCCTCATTGTGCTCGCTTTTGTGGTTTTTCGAGACAGGGTTTCTTCGTGTAGCCTCGGTGGTCCTGCATCTCGGGCTCTAGATCAGGCTGGCCTCAAACTCAGAGACCCACCTGCCCCTGCCTCACACGTGCTGGGATTAAAGGCGTGAGCCACCACTGCTGGCTTCATTGTTCTTCTCTAGATCACATAGAAGATGGAGAGGAGACAGGGAGGAGGTTTCTCGTGAGCAAGACTGATACCTCTTCTCACAGCCCAGAGAGGCCACGTGTTCATTCACTTCTTCAACAGCCATGTTGAGCTTCTTGCCATGTTCCGACCCTGGAGTTGCTGAGGCCGAGGTCTAAACCCCATCCTCCCGTGACAGTATAGTACTCTCAGCTGAGGTCCAGTCTCAGCTTTCCTCAGATGTGTCCCTGTGAGGGGAGGAGTCCCAGAGGTCCTGTTTCTGTGGTTTCAGAGGAGCACACCAGGCTGTCCTGTTGGCTGGAATATGGGGCCAGGCTAGCTGGCTGGCTCCACCATTAATTGTTAAGCAGACAGGTAGAAGAGGTTGGTAGGCTCAGAAAAGGTGCTGACACCTAATTAATTGCCTTTCAGGAATTAGCTTTGTTATGAGAAGGGGCCATGAGGTGATCCGAGTGTTGCCCCGCCCACATTTCTTTCTGCTCCTGGGGAGGCTGATGGTAGGTCATGGTTTGGTGAGAGATAAAGGAGGCTATTTGCCAGTGTAAAGTGGTCTTCAGAGGTCAAGAAACCTCTAGCAAGAGACAGGCCTTAACTGTGAGAGACAGTCCTCACATCTGTCTTATTAAGCACAGCGGTGCCGAGAACCTTGGCATTTCTAAGAAATCTATTAATAGTAAAATAGTGTTAAACAAAAGCAGAGGGCTGGTGAAGGTGCTGGCTGCCAAGCCTGATGACAGGCTTAATCCCCAGAGCCCCACTTGGTGGGAGGAGAGAACCAACTCTGCCCACCATATGCATGGGGTGTGTGTGTGTGTGTGTATGTGTGTGTGTGAGTGTGTAGGTCCATGTGTGTCCATACTCACAAATAAATGTAATAAAAATAAACTAGAAAGTCAAAATTCACAGTTGACTTATTTGGCTCTTGGGCTGATGCAGTGAAGAGAATGTTGGTTTGTCTTTTGTGTGTGTGACAAACTACAACATGATTATGTCGAATATAAAAGGGATGAAGCAGCAGTTGGCTTGGAGAGGAAGTTGACACATATGAGGTTTGTTAGAATGAGAGAGGGCCTCAAGGCCATGACTGAGCCTCAGGGTAGAGGGAGAACATTAGATAATACAGTATATGGACTGTCAGATGGTGGGTCTGAACGGGAAGGGCAGAGCTCCCTTTAAAGCCTGTAGGAGGGGGAGAAGGGGATGAATGAGTGAGTGAATGAACGAACCATCCACATGAGAAGGATGGTGGGGTGGCTAGAGGAGCCTCTTCTAAGATCAGCTTTCAGAGCTAATCTCCAAACCCCAGAACAAAGGGAAGGTCTGGCTTCTTATTACCTTTTGGGTGAAGAGAAGCATCACATCATGGAATTTAGTTAACACAGCATGTGTGACAAGGAGCACTGAGGGCCCAGGCATCGTAAGTCAAGAGCTGGCAAGGCCCATCACAGAGGGAGCTGCAGGGAGGTGTGATCGGATCCTTGGCCTGAACGTGTCATCCTTGTGTTTTAATGGGCAACTGGAGGACTATTAAGCATTCACGGAGGTGGAGTAGAAGGTCCTCCTACTCCATACAAGTAACAGATGTGGCTGTAGAAAGCTACTTTTAGAAATGTCTAGTCTAGTGTCTAGAAAGACTTACTAGCACTCCTACAGCTGGACACCCAAGCCACACCCACGCGCGTGCTCCTCCTCTTCTCCCTCCTCCTCCTCTCTCTGATCTTGGCACCCTGTGACAGTGAGGCTTATGGACTCCTCTGAGTGTGGTGCTTGGCGAGGGAACCGTTTAAGGGGGAAGGAAGGGAGCAGGTGACTTCTAATTCTACACACGAAGACAAAAGGACAGGCTGATGCCGGGTGGGGATGGATCAGTACTTTATGGTTCAAGAGGCCAAAGCCAGATATAGTTATTTTTAAAGCTTATGTTGGCTCTATGAGTTTGTGTTTGTGTGTGTTTCTCCTCCTGCCTGGGGGACTGTTTCCCAGCAGCCCACAAAGGCAGGAGGGGCAGGAGGCACAGAGCTTGAAAGACCAGCCAGCATGGTGGAGATGAAACCCTCTGGGAAGCACGTCAGGGAGCTAGTTCAGCTTTAATTCCAGAGAACAAAGGCTGTGTACCCGCTGGGGAAGGGGCTCCAGGGAGAGGGGTACACAGCCGGTTAAAGCTGGACACTTCAAGGATGTCTGATCTGCATGCTCCAATCACATGACTGGGAAGAGGTACCCAGTTCTGTAGGTGTAGGGAGGGGAAAGCTAGCAGGGAGCTGGGTCAAAGGCCCTGTATGTCATTAGGGACATCTGTGTCTAAATACACTTCTCAGAAGGGGTCAGGCAGAGAGCATGAGGCCCCTCTGGGGAGAGGGAGTCCTGCACCTTAACGCCGAGCTCAGCGTGGCCACCCTGACAGGACTGCCACAAGTCCTCCAACACGTGTGAATACCTGCGTATCGTGCTGAACGCATGGGGTCCCGGGGCGCCCTGCGGGAATCGGTTTTCTTCTGCTCCACTGTGAGGACATGGGACTTGAACCTAGGCAGTCAGGCTTGGCATCAGGTACCACCACCCTCCGGCCCGTCACCGCGAGTCTTGCTCTCCCTTCACCCCAGCAGATAAGTGCCCAGCAGCAGCTGAGGCCGATGGCGATGCTGGTCCGCTCTGGAGGTGTGGGGAGGGAGCTCTTCCCTGCCACGTGGGCAGCATTGCTGCGCAGTAGACGCTCGCTCTCTCCTTCCAGGGAAAAAGGGTGTGTACCTGACGGACCTGACGCCCCAGGGCGTGGCCAAGAGAGCCGGCGTCCAGGAGGACGATCGCTTGATGGAGGTGAACGGAGAAAACGTGGAGGAGGCCAGTCACGAGGAGGTGGTGGACAAGGTACGCCCGGAGACAGCGCGCCTCCCACCCGCCTCCCCCTGCACCCACCGGAGGCGACAGGAGGGTGGGGGGCAGGGAGGGGCGCCGAGTCAGGGGGGCGTGGGCAGCGCTCGCGGGGCCCTGCCGCCCCCTCTCGCCTTCGGTTTCCGCTTCTGCGCTCCAGTTGCTTGTAAGTCAACCGCATCCGAAAGTAAAGGAAACTTCCATTAATGGGTGGTTCATGAGTTCAAATCCCTACCACTACGATGTGGTGTTACAATCGCGCTGCGCCAGGGTGGGCATGCTAGACACCCACCTTCTGGATGGTGGTGTTGGGGGCAAGGGATGGAGCGCATCACCACTCAGACCGGTACACAGCCTAGAGCTTCCGAGTAGCTTCTCAAGTCCCCGTTTAGGCCCAGTCGGCGAGAGCGCGCGTGCCCAGGCCGCGTGTCCAGGCCGCGTGCCCGCGAGAGCCTTCCCCCCCCAGCGTTGTCTGGGGAGGCCCCTGCCCCTCATCTGGGTGTCTCGCCGCAGGTGAAGAAGGCAGGAAAGCGCATCGTGTTCCTCCTGGTGGACAAAGACACCGCCAGGCGCCAGTGCGAGGAGAAGACACAATTCAAGAGGGAGACGGCCAGTCTGGAACTGCTGCCCCACCAGCCCCGGGTGGTGGTGATCAAGAAGGGAAGCGATGGCTACGGGTTCTCTCTGAAGGTGGCCCCCGAACAGAGAGGTGAGGCGCCGGGACAGCAGCCTGTGGGTCCCTCGTCCGAGGCCCTGGCTCAGCTTACGGAGCAGTAGGGGCTGGGCCTTGCTTGTTGGGGCACAGGCTGTGACCCCCAGATCGGGCAGTGCTTCAAAGGTCGGCAGCCTTTGTGTTCTTCACTCCCTCCCTGCCTTCGGCATCAGGGTCTCACTGAGTATGGACTGACCTTGAACCCGAGACCCTTGCTTCCACTCTCTAGTGCTGGCCCCTGTCCCCTTCTGTGGCTTACCAGCTTGGTAAGATCGATGGCTGCGAATATGGCCACGAACATGCTAGGAACCTGCTAGGACCTTGCTCAGCCTGCCACTTTGTCAGAAGTAAGCGTCAGATGCTTTAGCGGCCGGGTGGGCTCCAAGCGCAGGCCACAGGGCATCTGTAGGCCCCTGGGGTGCAGAGGTTGGGGGTGGGCCTTTATAGCTATCTCGTTAAGGTCCGGGAGCCAGCAGAAATCCCGGAGCTTATTTGGGGGGGGGGGGGCTTTTCTGGTGACTTTTCTTTGTGGCGGGAGAGCAGGTCAAATCGTCAAGGACGTAGAATCTGGAAGCCCAGCAGAGGCAGCCGGCCTGAAGAACGATGACCTGGTAGTCGCGGTCAACGGCCAGTCTGTGGAAGCCCTTAGTCATGACAGTGTGGTGGACATGATCAGAAAGGGCGGAGACCAGACGGTGCTCTTGGTGGTGGACGAGGAGGCGGACAGCCTCTACAGGCTGGTAAGTGCTTCCAGCAGCGCGCAGTCATGCACTGGGGCTGGGTCCCTTCACCCACGCCCGCCAGCTTTGGGCTGAGTTACTTTATTCCTCAACCCAAAAGAGGTCGTAACAGCCATTAAGGCCAAATCTTGGCTCAAACTGGTAGTGGCAGGAGAGTGTCAGGAATTCCGCACTAAAGGATTTGGATGTGTAAGTTAGCTGATTCTGGGATCAGCTATGAAGAACAGGAATCTGAAACTGGAAAGAGGTGGCCTGGGCTTCTCCAAGCTGGCACAGGCGTAAACTGACTGAGTTTTAGATTCGTTGTGTGTGTGTGTGTGTGTGTGGGGGGTCTGAACGCATGAATATGTGTGCGCATGCAGGTGCCGAGGTTCTCCTGGAGCCGGAGTCCCAGGAGCCTGTGAGCCACCTGCTGGGAGTACTGGGAACCGAACTCAGGTCCTCTGCAAGGGCTGAGTACTCTTAACTGCTGAGCCATTTCTCCAGCCCTGATAAAAGGATGTGATGTTGTTGGCCCCAGGCTTCTTCAATCTTGAGTAAAGATCCACAAAAGTTGATAAGCTTGTTGTTGTTGATGCAAAACCAAGCTCTCACCTCAGAATGATTAAGGATTATTTTGGACTTACGTTTAGGCAGTCATGGTCCAAGACTATAGATTTAGGTCACCTCAGGTCCACATTCCAACGTGGAAGCCGTTTAGTGGATTTTTTTTTTTTTATAGTAACAGTACAAAGAAAGGTATAAATCAAGGCTTGAAGAATACATTTGTGCAAACATCAGAGCGGCATAGTCAGGCAGAGACACCTTAGACACTGTGACAGCATTTAGCCTGTGGTTGGCAGTGATTACATTTTAGGTTGATACCTTCCAACTGTTTATCAGGATGTTGGAGGTGGGCAAGGAGCGGGCCTTTAGGCCTGGGCCTGTCACAGCCTCACCCGCCAGTCATGGAAGCTCTAGTCCTTGGAGACACTATGGTGGGCCGGGAATCCTCGGCTACGCTGTCCCCAGTGAGCACAGTAGAAACAGGCTTAGCGAGAGCGAGCCGATCAAGAGCCACACTCCCTCTTCACTCTGTGACAGCCGTTTGCCTGTGTCGAGGCTTTAAAAAACACTTTATTTTTAAGTTATGTGCATACGTGTGGTTGTGTGTGTGTATGCGTCCATGAGAGCAGGTACCCACATCCAGAGGAGGGTGTTGGGTGCCCTGGAGCCGGAGTGAGAGGTAACGGTAAACATGTGATGTGGGTGCCGGGAACCGAACCTGGGTCCTCTGGGAGAGGCGGGCGCTCTGTAACCGACATGTCCAGTCCCAACATTAAGGCTATTTTATCAGAGAGCTGGGGTTCAGTGCAGTTTAACAGATGTCTGGGGCCCCTCAGGCTGTTGGCCACACAGATGGCAGTCTCCTATGTGCTGCATAGTAACAGAAGCTCCTGGGCGCGGCAGGGAGGAAGGTGGTGACACCGGGGCCACTCGTAGACATCAGGTGACCTGCTGAGGCACCCAGCCTAGCAGAGACTCAGATCAGTATTTGAACCCAAGTTCTCAGGCTTGATTCATTAGACCATACATGTTCTCCCAAATCTTGATTAGGTCTTTCAAGATACTTTTGTACAGGAGATTAAAGAATTAATTGGAAAACAGAGAATGCATTTTTATCTAGTTGAGTAACCATACCCAGAGTCTCTAATGGCGCACATGCACACAGATACACTTTTTACTTGTTTCTATCCTGGCTTATCACATCAAGGAAGAGACATGTGCATATTGAATGTATTTTCAGAGGCTTTAAAGGAATGATGGATAACTGATAGGACAATGTTAATAAGGGGGCTGGGACTATAGCTCGCTCAGGAAACTTCTTGCATGAGGACTGAGTTTAATCCCAGCGCCTTTGTGTGGTGGTGTGTGTGCTGTAATCCTAGTGCTGGCCAGAAGGGTTCCTGGGGCCCAGGCTAGTGACGTCACAAGGTAGGAGGACACCCACGGTTGTCCCCTGCATACACACGTGTACAGGGACCCACGAACTCACACCCTTTAGTCAGATGAGGAGGAACAAAGGCAAACAAAAAAAGAACATGGATGCTTTAAAAATCCCATTCTGACTTGAAAGGAAGTTGTTGGAACAGGAAATGTTGAGAACATATTTGATAACTCAAAACGATTTAAGGTTACGTAATTGGCTGTTGGAGGTAGCCACCTTCCGGCACTGGTCCTGAAACCGTGGGTAAGCTGCCCTGACGGGACTAAATTAGTTACTACTTAGAGCATGTGGGTGATGCTGTACGGTGATGTCGGCCTTGAGGGCTTCCTTGTAATTCCTGAAAATAAAGCCTGATAGAATATTCACTGAATGATGTCAGTGTAACCTGACCTGTTCGGCTAACATTCGGGGAGAGCCTGCCCGCTCGCTCACAGGCTCTCTTCATAGGTGGCTGTGGGGGGGCTGTGGTGGGGTGGATCTCTGAGATACAGCAGCGAATAGCCAAACACTCCCCTCAGGGGCTAGATGCTAGAGTACTCAAAAGGATGGATAAAAAGCCTTCCTGCTGCTCCTTTCATGCTGGTGGGCTTTGACACCAGCAGTTGGGCCCAGGCGCAGACAGCTGCTGTGCCTGCCAGGGACAGCGAGTCTAGCCTGCATTTGTGAGCATGTTACCGAGGGCCGTGCAAGCCCGAGCCGCTGCTGCTGTCTGCGGGGAGCAGGACTGCACGGCTCATTTCTGCTGAGCTGCTAGCGCTACAAGGCGGACAGTGTTCCTCCCCCTTGCTCCAGGTCCTGTTTTCTAACACATGTCCTGGACACCTGTTGATCTCAGCTTACCTGCTGAGCAGGTCCACAGCTCCACAGCACACCCAAGTCTAGCCCCTAACTCAAGCAAAGTCCTCACCCAGCTAAGTTTCACTCTATTCAAGTGATAATTTGAACAGTCAGGGCTAGGGATTTAGCTTAGTTGGTGCTTGTCTCAGGAGGGCTGGGCTTGAGTTTGCTCCCCAGGGCGCGTGCTGAAACGCTGAGTGTGGGGGCAGCAACCTGGAGTCTCAGTGCTGGGGAAGCAGAGAAGGGCATCCTTGGGGCGTGCTTGGCAGGCCAGGGTAAAGGCCTGGACGGGCTTCCGGCCATGGAGACCTGTCCCCAGAGCTAGAAGTGTTCCAGAGGATAACTGCACAAGGCAAAGCAGGAAAGTAGGACAAGCACAGACATCAAGGATGGCACGCACAAGAATAAAACGAGTTACATTTCCTGTTCTAGTTCTGTCTTCACGGCCATCATTGCTCTCCTCACAGCAGTGAAAGTAAGAGGGACCGGAAGTACTTACAGACGGGAGGAGGGTTTTGTGAGAGAAGTGCTGGGGGTCGTTACAGTAAATGAGAAAGCTGAGCAGCCCTGGAGGTGGCAGGCGGCTGGGGGTCCACTTTTGCTACCGAATGTGGGCACCTCCCAAATTATCAGGGTGTGGAGTCTTCGCTAGTCTCCAAAATGTTCTTTAGTTTCTATAACATGCTTGGAGACCATCTTGCTCAAGGGCAGGAAGAGCAAGGCTGCATGGGCTAGCCCCTCGGAGGCGTCTCCCCGGGGGCGGGGGGGGGGGGGTGTGGAGTGTTTGGTGATTTGCCTGCTTCTGTGGAGTTAAGCTAGTAACGTCAGATAGTGTCAGATAGCTGTGGGATCTGGTGTAGAGCTGTTTATACCTTAGGCCCAGACATGTGTCTGTGTTCATGGCTGTGGTGAAGAAACCTTAGTCTGTAACGGAGGAGGAACAGACATGCGACAGCCATCACATTCAATGAAGTGTAACGGCTCACAGGTGAATTTTCCGCTTTCTTTTCAAAAGGCCCATTTTTCTCCACTTCTCTACTGCCAAAGTCAAGAACTGCCTATCGGTTCTGTTGGTTCTGTCAAGGAAGCCCCACCTCCCATCGCCGCTCCTCCGGAGGCCTCATGCTCAGACACTCCGGAGGATGCGGGAGGTCCGAAACTCAAGCTCTGCAGGCTGATTAAGGACGACAACGACAGCTATGGCTTTCACCTGAACGCCTTCTGGGGTCAGCCAGGCTCCTTTATCAAAGAGGTATGGTAGCTGGTTCCAGCGGCCCAGCCAACAGCCAGTTAGGGTAGGCGCTTCCTGCGCCAGCGGTGAGTGGCCTGCCCCCCCCCCCCCCCCCCCGCTGTGCTACTCGCCGGCTTCTGCATGTGTGTGTCCTGGTGCCCCGCCCCTGGAGGCTGGGCCGGGAGACCACCTGAGGCTCTCAAGTTGGGATCCTAAGATCCTAACGCCTTCAGCCCAGCACATGTTCAGTGCGGTGCTTGGCCTGCGGTGCAGCAGCGGCTCACGGGAGCTCAGGGGCCGTGGTCCGTCAAGGAGAGAGGTGTGCTGAAGAGGAGGGACGCTGCCCGCGCTCACCCCCCTCCCCCCGTCAGCTATGTTCGGAACTGACACTCAGCTCGTGTCCACAGGTACAGCGGGGAGGCCCCGCTGACAGGGCGGGGCTGAAGGACGAGGATGTCATCATCCAGGTGAACGGGGAAGACATGCAGGACGAACCCTACGACAGAGTAGCCGACAGGATCAAGAGCAGCGGCCAGCAGGTCACTCTCTTGGTCTGCGGAAAGAAGGCCTACGACTACTTCCAAGCTAAGAAGATCCCCATTGTTCCCTCCATGGCCGAGCCCCTGGCGGACGGCTCTGATGGCAAAGGAGCGGAGTTGGAGCGTGACTCCCACCCAGAGAAGGAACGAGTGAGTGGCGGCCGTGCTCTGTGACCCGCTTCCCTGGGCAGCAGTCCCCATGCTTCCTGTCTGTGTTTCCCAAACAGTAACTAACACGGGGTAACCGGCCTGTCAGGGTTTTGTGAGGAGAGGAGGTAGTACGAGGACAACTGTATTGTCTTCTTAGAAATGTGGTCTCATTGTGGAGCCCAGGCTGGTCTAGAACTTGCAACCTTCTTGCCTCAGCCTCCTGAGCGCAGGGATTGTGGCACGTGGTTATTTTCTTAGCATGAGGTAGGCAGGCAGTACGTGAAGAAATGAGTTTATCAAAACCATGATGGAGACTACCAAAAGCACATGACTCAATCATGCAGAACGAGTTCTGGTTCTGCCACAGCCAGTCCTGGGCCAGGGCGTGTCCTGTCTCTGCTTCAGCTTCCACTTGTGAAACTGTGTGCAGCTGTCTTCAGGGTAAAGGTATTTGAACCGTGTCTGGCTTCACAGTGAGGAAGATCAAGGAGGTGGTTAGAAGCTCTGTATGAAGTGAAGGCAGGTATTACAATGATTTTTGTCAGAAGAAATTTTTCTGCTCAATTTTTAAAGACTTGAGTTTCAAAAGTGAACTGATATTCAAGTCCATAAAAGGAAATTTCTGGCAGGCCTCTGAGAAGTCTCACTATGCCTTTCCACTGTATTCATTCTACTCAGTCAATTACGACTATAGCAGACTTGTAGAGATCTGATCGTGTATATATACACATATATAGCTACGTATGTGTATCTAGATAATGAGAAACACATTTGTGATGGTAATCTGGAAACCAGCCCCATCTGGAAGTGCACAGCTCTCCCTGACAGGCTTGCAGCTCCTGCCCTCCTGCTGAGGCAAACCCTTGGTTTTTCCTTTACAGACTCTCAGCACAATCTCGAATTCTTCTTCCAACTCTGAAGACACAGAGATGTGACAAGAACAAACGGTGGTTTCCTCTTTCGGGTCCAGATCTGCTTCTCCAGGAAGGAGGTGTGCTGACCCCGAGACCTCTGGAATTATCTGTCCCCCAGGACTGTCTGCTGTCACAGGGCACTATTGCAGGTGGCTTATTTATGCTTAACTTAGCTGGAGGGCGGGGCCAGGTTCTTTGTCTGTGATGTTTTGCAAAGTGCAACTTTCCATTTCTGTTGAGGAAACATTACTTGTGTAGGCTAGACACCTGGCGGGGCTCCGGGTGAATGGGTGGGTGGGTGCTGCGAGCTAATTACCAAGCAGACAGCCTCTCAGAAGTGTGCTTTTGTAGCAGTGCAGTGGCTAAGCAGCGTTACTAGAAGTGCTCTTGAGCTGCTTGCAGCCTCCCTGTTGGCTAATAGTATCTGAATTTGAATAGTGCCTTTGTTCTGTATAAACATTTCATGCTTTTTCATTTGCTTCTAGAAGCCCAAAACCTGACAAAATATACACTGTGACCTTATAAATAAAAGACTTCCAGGCAAAATACGTCATAATTTTCTTGTATTGAATTTGAGTATTTAAAAATCCACATCTTCCTTTTATTGATGGAAAGCTCATGTTTCAGAACAGGGAAGGGCTTGTTCAAGGTAACAGCTATCCACTGTCTTATCCCGCACAACGAGAGGCACAGGGAAAGACCACGCAGTGACCCGGGGACTGTAGGACACTCACTCTTCACTAATTTAAAAGAAAATAAAAATTTGCGTATCTAAAACCTCTTCTGGTAAAATCTATTTCAGTTGCCTATCCCTTCCCCAGAAAAGGACAGACAACCCTTTGGTTATTTTTAGGATGGGGTAAAGCTGGGCGAGGGAGGGAGGGAGGCATTTCACAGTAGACCACAGTAGCATAACATCAAGCGGCTCTCGAGAAGTGAACCGGAGGCGAGAGTGCCACAAACGCCAATTTCACTGACATTTTTCAAGGGAAGCCGTCTGCTGAGACGCTCCAGGGTCTCGTCCTGCCCTGTCCCTCACCTCATTCCGCACAGTCTGAGCCACACGTGCTCCCTGCTGAATGCTGCGCGTTTTCTCCTCTGGTGCCTTAGTTGAAGCTGCTCCTGACTGCAGTGTCTCAGGAAGAAGGCATTGCTGGAGACAGCAGACCGCCACGGCTACGTCTGGGTCTTTATGGCGCCTACAGTGGGTCTGCTCAGGGGGCCACGTGTTTCTCTGGGGCCTGTTTGTGAGCCAGATACAGGAACAATATGCTGGACAGGGCGCTGACCAGGAAGATGACATCGAACCAGCGGTGATAGAAATTGAACTGGAGCTCTCCCAGGACCTCTGTGATTATGGTGCGGTACTCTGGGGGCATGCTCATGCGGATCAGCAGCACGGAGGACACGAAGTACATTCCCTGTGGAGTTGAGCCAGTCAGTTCACAAGTTATTCTGAGTGTCTGAGGTGCAGGCCAGGGCAAACTTTAATTTTAAAACTATTTTTAAAAAATTATTTATTGGGGCTGGAGATAGTGCAGGGGTTAAGACTTGTTGCTTTTTCAGAGGGCTTGGGTTTGATTACCAACACCCCAGGGTGTCTCACAACCTTCTGTACCTCTAGTCCGGGTGGTGGGGTTTAAACACCCTTTCCTGGCCTGTGGGTATCAGGCACACACTCGGTGTGTATACTTACATGTAGCCAAGCATCCATACACATAAAATTCTTGGAGTTTGTGCGCACAGGTGCGCGCCTTCCTCAGTGTGCATGACATCAGAGGCTGACTTGCCAGGGTGGGTTCTCCTCTTCCACATTGTGGGCCTGGGCACTGAACTCAGGACATCGGGCCTGGAGGCAACCCTTCAGCCCCTGAGGAGGCCACTGTACCGGCCCAACTTAAAACCCTTCTGGGCTGAGGCTGCCCAGTGGTTACTAGTACAGGTACAGTTTCTGCAGGTAACCTGGCTGGTTCCCAGCACACACTCTGGGTGGCTTACAGCTGCCTATAACTCCAATTCTAGGGGATCAGGTACCCTCTTTCATAGTCCACAGGCAACCGGACTCAGATTTATACACACGAGCTCATAACTCCTGGCCGCACCAATAAAACCCAAAGCCCAAACATTTGTAAGCTGGGCGTGGTGGTGCATACCTGAAATTTCAGCACTTGGGAAGTAGAGAGAAAAAGATCAGGAGTTCAAGGCCACTGTTTACTACCTAGAGAATTTGAGGCCAGCATGGACTGTATGAGACCTTGACTCAAATAAAAACTCTCCCCAACAAAACCACATTTTTGGCATTTTATGTTTGTAGACATAAAAGTAGGTCAATAAACTTACCATTATCTGTGCTAACAGCAGGACGATGACATTGGAGGACTTGCTGCTGGAGATGGCGTAAAAGAACTGTTGAGAAAGGGAGCGAGGTGAGCACAGGTGCAGCGGGACTGCTGTCAGGAACGACACTCTATGCCTCACCTTTAACAGCGTCTCTTTTATGGCACAGCGAGCAACTTAAAATTCAAGAGAAACCAGCTTCCGCCTGAGGTGGTGAGGGATTTTATGTGACCCAACGAAGGAGCCCTCTGCTGTTCAGTTTCAGAAACTGATGCCCTTGCCATCATTAGTGCCAGCCCATGCACCTGCAGCTGTCATGGGGCCCTGAGCTCGGGCCAGATTGGGCTAGACGGCTGGCACGCCCCCCCCCCCCATCTCTTTTCTAGTGTTTGGGCCTCTAGCAGAGAGGACGCTCTTCCCTACCATGTGGCCTGCCTTATGTTGCTTGTAAAAGAGCCGAGTGCTCTGCTCCCTGACTTCCATATCTTCCTCACGTGATTCACAATCATTTGGACCTTGAATGTCTCAGTCATTTTTTAAAGTATCTGATGAATACCATGTGCCAAGTTTGGTTCTAGATGATATGACATATCAACGAGAAGAATGGACCCTTTATTACCCTTGGAATGTATCTGTGGCTGGTAGGTGTCATACTTTACCCACAACTTACTGAGAAGTTCAAGTCTTTTTTTGTGTCATCTGAGTTGTTCAGGCTGTTGCTGAGGATCTAACTCGGAAGTTGTATTAATTTAATTTAAACGTGGTGACACACATACCTTGGTGAGAGTGATGAGCAGCCCTCTGATGGATGTGACAATGATTATCCCAACCAGAATGAAGGAAATGTGTTGAGACCAGAACTTCACCTGCCGCCAGAACAGGAAGAATAGGCCATTACATTTCCGGGCAGCACCTAGGGCTAACATGAATTCTGCTGACTCTGGACCCCTGGCTGGTTTTGAAGGAAGCACCTATAGGTAGCAGGTGCCTATGGGAAGACTGCATTGGCTCCCTTAGTCAGCACACCGAATCGAGTCCTAAGGGTCAAAGAAGTGAGAGGACACAAATCCCCGAGAGCCCGCAGCTGGCGAGGGGGGCCTACCATGAGGCAGGCAGAGGGATTCAGAAGAGAGGACCCAGCACTGGGAACCCTGATGTTTTCAATGCCACAAATGAACGATTGTTGAAGGGGTTCTCAGTGAATTTCACTTAAACCACACACACGGTGGAGATCTTTCCCCCTGCACTACGAGACAGGAAGAAGCAGTTTTGGGAACCTGGGCTTGACCGTGCTCAGGTGTGTGAGGCCAGGGCTGCCGCAACATCTAAAAGTCGGATTCAGGATTCAGGAGCATAAACACGGAGGCAGGAGGTGAATCCCAGTGAGAACAGAGACAAGGAGCCCTCACTTCTAAAAATGTAGCCCTGTAAAGAAGACATTTGTTTTGGGGACAGGATTTCACTATGTAGCCCTGCCTAGCCCAGAATTTGCTACGTAGACCAGGCTGGCCTCGAGTTCTGAGATTTACTGCCTCCTCTCCTCAGGCTCCTACTCCCAGGGAGCCCAGAAAGCATGGTGAAATGTAAGTGAGAAAATCACACAGGCCTCAATAATAAAGCACATGGACTGCTGGAATTCTACATGACCTGAAGGAAAAGATGCCACACTGTCACACGTAGAAAGAACATGCTGTCGACCTATCATTAACAATGGGTACTTTAAGGGTTGGAGAGATGGCTCAGACAGTTAAGAGTGCTTGAGCTGAAATTCCAAGTACTCCTGTAAAAGCTGGGCATGGCCACGTGCGCCTGAAACATGGGCACTAGGAGCTAGGGATGGGCAGATTCTGGGAACGTGCCAGCCAGGGCAGCTGAAGTGTCAAGTTCAGCGAAAGCTCCTCATTGAAAAGCAAGGTGGAGAGGCAGCCACGCAGTAGACTGACACCGCCCCCCCACCCCCCCCCACCCAGTAAGACCATCAGAACAAAAGCATCGTGGTGTTCCTTCAGGACTGCAGCTCAGTTTGCCTGCTCATTTATCTAGCTGCCCTTGAGATGGGGACGTGCTCCGCTGAGATGAGGGGCCTGGGCAATGCACACCCTCATCCCAGCTCAGAGGAAGCTAAGTCCACACCAGGACAAAGAGACGCAACACCATCAGCCTGAATGACGTCATCTGGAAAACACCTTATACTCTGAATAAAGACACTGAACTTATGCCTGATGTTATGAAATAGGGAGAAACAATTTAAAAAACAAACCCTACTTTGTGCATGGATGACAATTCAACTTTAGTCCAAGTCCACCTTACTTGACTGATAAAGATTGTTTCTTACAGAAGACATCATTTCTGCTCTATGTCAGAACACTAATTAGTTGTTAATTTTCTACCAGGAGATCAAAGGTGAGTGGTGAGTTTGAAGAGGTCACTGAGTCTGCGGAGAAAGATCTGAATACTTGGGAAGAAGTGGCAGTGGTAGCTAGCTGTGGGCAGGCTGAGGAGGGCTGCAGCAGAAGGGCAAACTCACAAAGTTCAGTACTGGCCACTGCCTATGGTTCGACAACAGGAAAGCTAAACCTGGCTGTGGCTGGATAAAGCAGAAGGAAACGTAAACCAACACCCAGAATGGCTTACATCAAACTGGATCCCCAGGTAATTCACGGTGATCTCAATGCCTCTGGTGACAGGGTCAGTTTTCCCAACTCGATCAAGAACAATATTGATGGTTGCCTGCAGAGACAGAACCTTCCATTAGAACCTGCCCAGCCAGAAGGCCTGACTCTGATGCTGGGGCCCACACGGTGGGGGGAGAGAAGCAAGCCCGTACAGAGTCCTTTGACTGCCGCACATGCCCATGTCACATGTGCCTGAGCACACACAAAACAAATGTAATTACAAATTTAATTAAAGGCTAAAATGATTCCACACAAATTAATGAACCTATCTTACAGGTTGATGTTTGCCAAAATACAATTTAATTCTCCTCCAGTCTAAACCATGAAGAGGAAATCTATTTTGTCCACTCACACACACAGGCAAATAAGCCTCTATTTATTTTCTATAAAGAGCCAAGGGCAATAAAGCATATGCATTCCATGATTCAGAAGTCAGGAAGTCAACATTCTGGTAAATGAAGTTAGAGTGTGAACGCTGTAAGAGCACAGACAAAGGAATATGGCTGTTGAGCTAACGAGAACACATGGAATGAAAG